ACACACACACACACACACACACACACACACACACACACACACACACACACACACACACACACACACACACACACACACACACACACACACACACACACACACACACACACACACACACACACACACACACACACACACACACACACACACACACACACACACACACACACACACACACACACACACACACACCCCCACACACACCCCTGCAGACAGCCTCACACACCCTCTACACACACCTCCTCACACTCCCACAGCAAACACCGTCACACACGCACAGCCCAGCAAACACCCTCTCACACACACACACAGCTCTGCAAACAGCCTCACACACACCCCCATTCACACACCCCTGCACACAGCCTCACACTCCTGGACACAGCCTTATACACACACACACACACACACCCCTCCATGCACACTGGAGCATGCCAATCCATCCCTGCACAAAGCACAGACACACCTTGCACGGTGCTGGTGTTTTTCTCCCTCACCCCCCTACCACCCCACTCACACACCCCTGCGCACAGCCTCACACTCCTGCACACAGCCTTACACACACACACACCCCCCTCCATGCACACTGGAGGGTGCCAATCCATCCCTGCACGAAGCACACACACACACACCTTGCACGGTCCTGGTATTTTTCTCCCTCACCCCCCCCCCCCATTCCCACACCCCTGCATAATAAACCCTGTCCTAAGCAGCAACACCCTTGTTTTCTCTCCCCAGGCCATCTCCCACTTGCTGGCGAGCACCTTTGAGGACCTGTACACTAAAGAAGTTTTTGGGAAGGAAAAGGAGGCAAATTGGATCAAGTCCCGAGGAGGAGACAATGCTTATCATGAGCATTTCACAGAGGAGCTACAGAAGGTACCAGTCAAAGCCAAGGCAGAGTTTGGAGCTCTGTTCAGCTTTCATTGTGACCTCGTAATTTCTAGATCTTTGTTAAAATAGAATTAAAGGCAGGGAGAGATCCTAGAACTCATATTTTGAAGGACATTTTCTTGAGGATGGTTTCCCACAGAACGTGATAGAAATTAATATTTGAGACATGCTGCTTTTGACTGTACATTATATTTTGTGCTCTGGACAGCTTTTCAGACAGTGCAGATCCAGAAGCCCTTTAAATCCCTATTTCACTGGTTGGAAACTTCTCCCTGTAACTGCTGGTCTGTATCCTAGACTTCCTATCTTGCAATAAAGTATTATTCTGGGCTGCATTTTGAAACCAGATGCTGCAAATATTACTTATATATGCTTACCTTGGTGCACTGTGACAGGTAATCCATGCATGTCTGCAGTGTTGTTTGGGAATCTTGGATGAAATCCACCGTAAAATGCAAAATACTTCTGTTAATCATTGCTCTGATAGGTCTTGTTAAGGGTATAAAAGCAGAGGCTATTGCTGGAGGATGTGAGCAGCAGGTATTTTTCTCCATTTTGTGTCATCATAGCTTCTCAAAGGTTATCAGACCTGAAAAATCTGAAGTTTTGTATTTCTTTTGAATAATTTATGAATATGATGGTGGGCACAGTATGTTCTGAGTAATGGGACTAGTTCAGCTTGGGTAAGGTTCATTTCAACTAACACTACATCTGTAACATGTATGTTAGAGTTGAACTAATCACCCAAGGCTCTCTTTATCATCAGAAAAAGGATGAAAAACCACCAAACCAGACACTTTTGGGACACAATTCACCTGATCCATTTTAGGTAGCAACATTGGACTGGGGTGGGTTTGTATCCTGGATTCCAGTGACAGTGAAGGGATTTCAGAATGAGCAGAACAGGACAAAGCATCTCATTTTAGCTGAGATGCATCCTACTATTTCTATTTTAAAAATTAACTAGAACCATTTATTATAATAAATTAATTATTATATTAAATTAGTGAAAAGGTTAAACCTTGTTACATAAAAATTCTGCATAAAGCTCAGTTAGGCTACAGATATTCTTGAGACCAATGTCTATCAGTTTCTCTTGGTGTTGGTCTCATTTGTCTCCATGCCTCTGCTCTAACTTGTGTTGATACCTCTTTGAAGCAGGATTTTTCTGAGTAAAACACTTACCACACTGGACAGAGTGATCTATGATATATCAGGAGGATTGAAATAGCATTATTGGGATATTCTGGAGTTTTAGAAAGCTTCCTAGTAACTGGGAGGGAGCCCTCACTTTAAAAATCCTACAATTCTAGACAAAATACAATGCAGCTGCTGCCGTCCCACAGAAGGTAAAAGACAGACATTTCTCTTGTCCTGAGAGAGTCTCCTATTTAATGTATTTTTGTTGGGTAGAGCTTCTTATCCAGCACAAGTTAAATTACAGAAATGCCAAGTTTTAGCAGGCCACTATAGGCTTGTAAAGCAATGATGTTTTACTAGGCTATCTCTGTGTACCTCTCAAATCAAACATATCATTGCAAGGAAACCTTTAATAATTTGGGAGAGCTCAAATGACAATAACTTCTCTACGTTCACTCGTGCCCGTGACAGGTTCTTGCTGAGTATGAGGCCCGGCTGACAGAAGCTGACAGAGTAGAAGAGAACATCATTGAGGCCCAGGATCGAGCAAAAGCTGAAGAAGAAAGAGCCCTGAATGTGCTGAAGGCAGATGTAGGGGAAGATTTCCACAAAATTGGATTGCCACCAGGTGAGGATTCTGGAAATACTGTCTCTCCTCAGTCTACACTTATGGCCCCTGGAGACCAAGGCAATGCTTGTCTGAGTCCCTGGTAAGACTGACACTAGAGTGAGACTCACTGAGCTTGTAGACACTAGGCATCAAAAGAGCAGCCTTGAAAGATTTTGTGCAGAGATTCAGGTAGAGTAACATCTGCTTAACACTGTGAGAAAGTCAACCACCAGGCCATTTTCAAGGTATTAAATTTGCAATTAATGGCTTAGCACCTAACTTGATTACAAGCATACACACCTTGGTATACAGCAGGAACAAACAAGAGACTAAATGTTTCTCTGATGGCTACAGAGCTGGTTTTGAACTGAATTTAGAATTGTGGAGATGCATGTTCAAATCTTGGGATTAAAATACCAGCCTTTTTCTGTAGCTAAAAATATTACCTGACAGTGATGAGTTATAAAAACAACATTACTTTGGATTGATCACAATAGTGTATCTTAAGGAGCTAACCTTTTGCAGTTTTTATTGTTGTGGTTTGTTTTTTTTCTGTCTTGCTCTTGCAGTGGCATGCCCTTTTAGGTGGATTGTGGATAATGAACTACTCAGAAAAAATCATTTAACCTGCCCTGATGATTACATCACTGATAAATCACCTGTTACTAGAGCCCCGAGAGGTAACTATTAAAGCAGAGCATAATTTAGACTTTTTAGAACACTCCATAAAAATTGAAACATTGGAGGATGCAGCAGGTCTTGAGTATATTTTTATAGTGTTCTGCCAAAGCAAAGGGAATCTAGTATTACAAGCATAAAATTCCACTAAAGGGACATCATCAAAACAAAACTTAGAAGTGAAGAATTATTGAGTACAGATGTGCTTAAATATGAAATGTAATGAGGGTCACACATTTGGGCACAGTTCATTCCATGTGACATAAAAACTTTATTAATTGTGACTGCTCTGTGTCTATTCAGTTTCATTAGCTCCTATAACTACATCTTGTGTACAGAGAAGGGAAGTGGTTACATTGAAGTAAAAACTACCTTCAGTGAAATCAAATTGTATTCTTTATTTTGGGTTTAAAATTCTCCAGTTCTGGAAATATATCCGATCAATTTACAAATTAAGATCAGGAAGAAAAATCCTTTGGACAATGTCAAGACTTCTTTACTTCTTTTACTCAAGTGTGAGCCAAGATGAAAGGTTTCGGGATCATGGACATGAAATTTTGCAGTCAAGTCAAACATTTCAGAGATTCTCTAGATCTTTTTGTAAACTGAACAGGACATTCTAAGTCCCACTCACTGCTAAGCTCACTTAACATAGCTTTCTGAGAGTAGTATCACTTTATTTGTATATAGCTTGTTTCATTAGTGTGTCTAAAACTTTCTTATTAAAGCACTAAGCTTAATTTGTGCAAAATAGATTAGTAATTTAATCTCTATTAGTAATTAAATTGCTAAAAAATAGTAAAAAAAATAGTAATTAATTAGTAATTTAAACTCTTGAGGATTAAAAGTGTATTTTTACCATGAACAAGACTAAGATCATACACCTATGCTTAGAATAAATGCTTGTAATTCATGTTTTTCTCTGATAGAATTAATTTTTCCCTTGAATTGCAGGAAAATCAGAATCTGGGTACTTGAAAGAGACTTTTGCATTTCAACAGTATGCTTGCTCAGACTTGCAGAACCAGGTGCCTGCAGAGATTGCACACCTACACAAAGCACCTGGTAGTTTGCCAGATGTGTCTTTAGGCACATTAACTCTGCCTTCAACTCCAGACTCCACCAACCAGGCTAAAAAGACAAGTAAGGTACAATTTACAGCTTTATTTGTTTTACTCTGTCAGAACTGTAGGGGCTGTTGCTGTTCCTGTAACAAAGGGTAAATATCGGTGCATTGTTGTGGCTCCAGTACTTATTTTATTTTATCTGTCCTGAAAAGAGAACCACAATATTTCTGTCTGAATTGGCAGTGGCTGTAGAGCTTTAATTAGACATGTATGGGTACCTTTTTCATCATCCTCAAAATGGCCCTGTTTGATTTTGCACCATGGTCTTTGCTTTTCCAAGAAAACTAATGCCTCACGGAAGCCAACCTGGCAAGACATTAAGTCCAAAGCAGAGGAAGAACAAGATCGTGCTTACCTTGACAAACTGGAGAGGATGCAGAATTTCTTGAAGAACCCCCGCTTTTTCCCACCAAATGCTCTTCGTGGAGGCAAATCTCTTGTCATTTCTCAAGAAAAGGTGGAAGAAACCATAGCCAGAAGAAAAGCAGAAGATAACACAGGGTATGCAGTTTATACAGTGTCTGGATTCTGAGCTGGAGCACACACAGAGAGCTCCACTGTAGCATTATTGTGGATTTGCACTTAGATTTTGTGAGCTAAATGTCTGTGAGGTCTCTTAGGAAACAAGGTGTGTGTGTATGACATTCTGGTTTTGCTAAAGGATCCAATTTGTAATTTCCCATTTTATCAGTATTTATAGAACTTCCCAGTAAGATATTTCTCTCTCCTTTTTTTTTTTAATCTTTCAGTGATACCTCATTTGTTCCTGTGTTTCTTGCCAATCCACCTATTGTTTTGTTTTCTGATTATGAAGTTGGCCAGGTGTATGAGGTGAGAACTTACTTCTTTGTAGATAGTTAATTCTACCACTCAGAAGCATTATGTCTTGCTTTGGTCTATATATTTCACAAGTCTGAGTTCCTTCTTTTATTGATTTAAAGAGTATTTAATGGTAATAATCTTTTGCACATGCCACTGACACACTAACCAGTGAAAACTAAAAGGAAACATTTCCAGTTTCTTCTTGGTTTTGGTTGTATCTGGTTCAGCCTTTATTGAGTAAACTGAAACATTTAGGCCAAATGTGGTGGTAAATTAGCTACTACTAGCAGAGCTGTAGGGAATTGCAAACATTATAATGAGTGATAATAAATACCATTTATTCTATTTTCTTCTAAATAAAGATGACTATAGAGCTGCAGAACATCACTTCAACATGTCACCATCTAAGACTTATTCCCCCCTCTACTTCAGCATTTGCCATTGGGACAGGTAAGGGTTCTTTTTACTGCCTTTAAGGTGTTAACACATAAGAGATTTATCTCATTTATCTGCTTGAAAAAAGACTTTTCAGAGATACTCTGGTTCTGCTGTCCACAGTGCCCAGTTCTTTAGAAACTGAAGGCTGACTTATGTCTGTAGGACCATTCACATGCAACTCAAAAGCAGATTCAAGTGGTCTAATGAGGAATTTGGGAAGTCTAACTAACAGTACAGTGTTTGAAGTTAGACTGAAATGTAGCTATGGAATAGCCTGGGCTGAATCTTAGCCAAAATTCACCTAGGAACAGACATAGTTTCCATTGAAATCATATGGGGAAGAAGGCAAGAAATAGCATACTTCACTTGCAGTAAGGAGGATTAGATTAAAGTGAAGAAAAACATATTTCCTATAGTGGGATAACCAGGCACTGGGATAAATTGTTTAGGGAGATTGTGGTATCTCAATCCCAACACTGAAGGAATTGTTAGAAGTTAGATGCCCTCATGTAAACCCTGTCTCGTGGCAGAGGAAGGCTGGGTAACAACTCTAGGTTTCTCCTCACTCTTTTTTTCTGTAGTTGTGAGTATATTTCAGACAAAAAGTCTTCTGAGTTCAGGGAAGATATGTACAAACTCAGATAACACTGGCAGGTCTTTTGTGGTCATTTGTTTTTATCAGCTTGACTTAGGCAATAGATGGGGAAAGTTCACAGGCACCTTTCCAGAGGGAGATGTGATCATAAAAACATAGGCCAACTTTGGGAGGTTTTCCATTTTTTAATTCCCTGCATTTTTTTTTTTTTTTTTTTTTTTTTTTCCAAGGAAAATTTCCAGAGGAAAGGGAGGAATGATTGCTCCTGGGATGACATGCCAGTATACAGTCCAATTTATTCCTGAATATCTAGGAGATTATGAAGATTGTATAGTAGTGGAGACTCAAGTATCAGAACCTCTTCTGATCCCAATCCAAGCTAAAAGACCACCTCCAGTGTTAACGTGTCAGTAATAGCCAATTCTTAAGTTTCTCTAAAGTGAACTTGGTGGTGGGTTTTTTTTCTTCATTTGACTGTCTCTAATTATATCTCACAAAACAAACACAGACAAACTTGGCAGTGCAGCTTCTACATTTCTGTATCTATCTCATTTTCACTCATAATAGATTTCTTAGTTATTAAAATGTAATAATCCTGTCAATTGCTTCCTCAGTTATTTGCTCTTGCCACATCAGTCTCATTTTTTTCCCCACTGTATTAGAGGAGTGAGCAGGAGCCACTTTTCTAGTTTGATGTCTTGTCAATTCCTGAACTCCTAACTGAAATTACTAATCCTAAATATTAATGGATTATAATATAGTTATAAATATTTGGTGCTATTCATTAATATTCATGGCATGTTACATTGTTATATATGGATATGCCATATCTACAGATTCACCTCTCAGATACCTAGTTTCAACAACCAGGGTGACTTTTGCAGAAACTTTGCTTTGGTTTTTCTGTGAATTCACCTTTCCTGTGACCTTTTTTAAAAAAACATCTTACCTTTTGTCATCATTCAATGGAGTCTTTAATTAGGAAGTTAAGATGAATGTAGAAATATGCACCTCATCCTCATTAACTTTCAGATTGAAAGAATGTGAGGGATTTCAGGGTTACAGCTCCTTGTGTGTTCATATGTGGTGATGTTGTCTTTAACAAGTTATTTAAGAACTGGCTTTGCCAGCTGCTGGCTTTCACTGTCTTTGTAGTCTGACTTGGTGTGTTCCTTGTTGCAGTGCCTCACATTATAGACTGTGGTTCCTGCCTTGTTGGAGGAATAAAAGTAACAATGATTTTGTGCAGAAATGAGGGATTTAGCCCTGGGAAGTTCTGTATAATGCCAAAGAAAGACTGGCCACCTCCTAATTTCAGGGTGAGTGATGAGAAGGGAAATACTGGATGTGATATGGTATAGATGTCCTGACATGAAGGCCTTTAATCTAGTCAGGTTAGCACAGAAGTCATAAGGCCTTGCTGGGAACATCTGTATTTTCCCATTCACTCAGGGGTTCACATTTATCCTGAAGACCAATCTCCTTGGGTGTCTCTCCCTCCTGCTTGTGCTCTGGCTTGCCTCTGGAAGAAGTTGTCTTGCTTAGTGGTAAGGTAAACTCGGGCACAGATCAGGGAGAGGACCACTGGCTTGAACTTTAATCTTCCCCTTAATGCAAACACAAATGCAATCAGTTCTAGCATAGCTTGAGTTCATTTCCTCCCTCCTCCCACCAAAGATACCACTTACTGACCTTGCTGCACCTGTAGACCCTAGCAGTTCACTCCAGTACCTCTCTGTCTTTAGCTTTCCATCACATGACAGGGTCTAAGTGCTGTGAACAAAGAAGATGTGGCTGGTAGGTTAGCATTTCATGTGCTGGAGAAAAGGCTAATGGGCTAGCTTATGTGCGAGGTTGTTCCTCCTGAAACACTTTACAATCATATGAGTCATATAAGGCATTCAGCCTGGAGAAGACAAGGCTCTGGGGAGACAGGTTGTCCCTCCTGAAACACTTTACAGTCATATGAGTCATATGAGACATTCAGCCTGGAGAAGACAAGGCTCTGGGGAGACCTCATATAGTCCTTCCCCCTTCTGAAGGCGCTACAGGAAAGCTAGGGAGGGGCTTTTTACAAGGGCTTGTAGTAGAGGACAAGGGGTAATGGCTTAAAACTGGAGGAGAGGAGATTTAGGTTAGACATTTGGAAGAAATTCTTTAGTGTGGGGGTGGTGAGACACTGGAACAGGTTTCCCAGGAAGCTGTGGAACCCCCATCCCTGGAAGTTTTGAAGGGCAGGTTGGATGGGGCTTGGAGCAATCTGGTCTAGTGGGAGGTGTCCCTGCCCATGCAGGGGGGTTGGATCTAGATGATCTTTAAGGTCCCTTCCAACCCAAACCATTCTCTGATGTGCATGGAGAAACAGAGCTCCTGTGTTCAGGCATAGCCATTCTACTGTGAACAGGAATGTTAGAGCTTCTGACAGAATAATTTGTCTTTGGAGACAGCACCTGCCCTCCTGCTTTCACCAAGGTAATTCTAAAGCATGGAGCATTTCTTCTCATTAAGCCATGCAGATAAGCCACATACTTTTGAGATGTGTGAAAAAAATCACAGTAAGAGTTAGGACAGTGATGTTCTTGTATACTGTTTGTTTTAGGTAACTCTGTTTTAAAAGCAACAACCTAATCAATGTAGTTCATTAATACTTCTCTTTTTTCTTTTTAATGCCTTAGGCTGTTGACACTGTTGGTTTTGTGATACAAGATCCTTTTGGGATCCATCCTGCTTTTTTTGAGCTAGCTCCAGGGCAGAGTACAACAGTAGAGGTTAGTACTGACTACTACAGAAAGTGTTTGTGCTTTACCACGTATATTAGCACATGGCATCGTTGTAGAAGATCCTGGCTGGACCTTGAGAATTTGGGTTTGTGTGAGCAAAAATGCTCAAATCCTTTTGTGCAATTATGGTGGAAGGATTGCAATTCTGAGTCTCACTGGAGAGTTTTCCATTGCAACCTTCAAGCCTTGCTTAGCCACACAGAGACCAGTCAGATTTTGCCCATGCAAAGAATCCTGTTAGAGAAAACAGGAATTGGAGAACACAGGTGTTCTTATTTCACTCCAGCTGGAGTGTTAAATCCAAGAACCTTTTCCTTTCTGAATTGCAGGAGGGGTGCAGTACTGGTTGTCACCACTGCTGCCTCTGATGTGGGCCACAGTTTATTATAGCATCACTATGAGGAGAGGAAGAGTGACATGAAGAGTATGGCTAGGCTTCAGCTCTTCCTTTCACCAGTACCCCCTGGCTGTTGATAAGAGGAATGGGTCAGGCAGGTGTGGATAAAGGAGGATCATTTCTCCTCTGTTCTGTCTCCATGAGTGCATTTGTTCAGCA